CAAGTGTTGCCTGCTCCATGAATGTGGGCATGATTTCCTCTCAGCTAAAAGTAACTTCCTGATTACTAGACCTGCTCTTAACACTCAATCCCATACTTTTATGTACCATACTTGTGTACCTGCTTTGTTCCCCTCCGCACCTCCACCTATAGTTCTTACCTGTAGATACTTTATTATTTTTAAAAATCTCTGTTATCTCCCAAACTGAGCACAGTCCCTTGCAAAACAATCAGCAAGCATTTATTAAGCACCTACTATATAGCAGGCACCATACTAGGCATTGGAGGGGCAAAGACTGTAGTTTAATAGATACTACTATCCTCAGGTAGCTTGCATTGATGTGGGAAACAATACTCATAGAGACAGAGATATACAGAATATATACATGTGTTACCGAAATTTAATTGAAATCATCTAGCATAATCTCATTTTGCTGATGAGGAAACTGAAGCCCTGGGAAAGGAAGTGGTTGTGGTCAAAATGAGGCTGGCCCTTCACAGGGTATCTAGAACTGGGAGGCATTGCCAAGGGTGGGTGTTAGGTGAGAGCAGAAAGTGCCTGAGGCCCAGGCCCGGAGCAGCTGTCTCCAGGCTGCTCCTGCTCTTTGCCTTGTCTCACTGCTCTCATAAGGGAGCCACATTTGTAGTGGTATTGGGTATATAGAAACTAAGCAGATTTGGTCATTAGAATCTTAAATTCCTCGAGGCAGCGATTGGTGTGGTTTTTTAAAAACTTTTTTAAAATTTAAATTAAATTTTTTTTTTTTTTGCTTTTAGCTTTCTTTGTATCCTTGGCACTTAGTACAGTATCTGGTACAGAGTAAGTGCTTAATAAATGCTTGATGAAGACTGACTGATCTCTATGCATCCCATCTAATTTAAGGACTATTTATTTATTTATTTAGTTTGTTTTGTTTTGTTTTGTTTTTGTTTTAGGCAATTGGGGTTAAGTGACTTGCCCAGAGTCACACAGCTAGTAAGTGACAAGTGGTTGGTCTGAGGCTGGATTTGAACTCAGGTCCTCCTGACTTCAGGGCCGGTGCTTTATACACTGTGCCACCTAGCTGCCCCAGGACTATTTTTTTAAAACCTCATTTTTATGGAAATGCCAGTTTTCATTAAAGTGATGATAGCCTGATTTCAGGTGAAAATTTGAATTGGCACTGCAGCTTCCCCAGCCACAAAGGGCAGCGGCATCTCTATAAAGGGCCAGGATTGTCTCTTTCACCTGCCCCTGTCCCAAGCCCTGATGCCTGCATCCTGTGCACTCCCTATTGTCGGCACATTTTGCCTGACCATCCCTAGCTCTTTTCCTATTGGCTGAGTGCCATTATTTTTTTAAAAAACTTTTCCTGAGTGACCTTGATTCTGACCCACAGTGGACAGACAAATGGGCTTTTATTATGTGAGCATCACTGCCTTTGAATCCTTTGGAGAAAAATGTGTATCTCCATCTTGAGTCCTTCTTAATTCACCCTCATACTGCTCCCACTCTGGAAGCTATCCTAGCCCACCCACCCCTTGTAGAGAGGGGGTAGTGTCTTGGAGAACCTGAAAACAATCCCATACATTTGTGACAGAGCCAGAATTGGTACATTTTTGTTCATTAGGCTGAGGATGAAAATAAGCTCAGGAGAGCTTAGGACATTGTGGACTTATTAAAGAAAAACCTCTGACAGCTCAAGACGTGGCTTTGACTTTTGGAATTGAATAAATGAATGAATGAGCATTTAATAAGGTCTTTCTATCAGTCAAATCAATAAGTATTTATTAAGCACTAATGTGCTGGGCACTGGGCTGGCAAAGAGAAGGCAAGGAATAAAAGGCCAGCATGATCTCAGTAGACCATCAATCTAATCTAGCATTCCTCATTGGTCTTGGAAATTGGCTGGATGTGGGCGTTTCCTTGAATGCCTTTGCCAGCAGAAAGCATTTAGTAGAGTGGTCATTTGTGTTGTAAATTACCAGGAGCCTGGAGAAGAGCAAGGTCCTTTCAGGTGATTCATTGGTAAACCCTAAGCACATGTACGATTTCCTAAGGGGGATGATGGTAGCCAGGCCAGGCCCCAGCAGCAGGAAGGTCAGTCTTTGGAGGCCTTGGCAATCACTTTGGACCAGACTTACTGGAGAGGGTTAAATCTGTTGTCAAGTGGTCACAGATTAGTTAATATTTTGCTGTAAGACAGCTGACTGTGGCTCATAGGAGCCTCAACTCCATTGGAGAAATCTGACCTCGATTTCTGGCTTTGCTGTGGAATGCCTGTGTATTTTGGGGCAGGTCATTTCATCTGTAAAATAAGTGGATTGGATGAGATGACCTCTTGGGATTCCTTGATTTGCAAAGCTCTTTACATGCATTATCTCATTTATCAAGGCAAGTCAGCCAGTATTCAGTGAGCACCTTTACCCTTAACACTGGAGATGGGAAGAAATGTGAAAAACAGCCTTTGCTCTCAGGGAGCTCAGTCTGATGGGGGAAGCAACACGCAAACATCCATGTCCAAACAAACCATGGACCAAATAAAAGAGAGAGAGTCTTAGAGAGAAGGCACTAGCTTTGAGGAGGAATCATCAAAAGCTTCTTGCAGAAGGTGGGATTTTAGCTGGGACTTGAAAGAAGCCAAAAGGCAGAGATGTGGAGGGAGAGGATTATGGGTACAGGGGATAGCTGGTGAAAAAGCCCAGGGCAGGAAGATGGAGAATCTTTAATGAGGAACAGTGAACCACGCTCACAAAGTATGTGGGGAGTTGGGTGTAAGAAGACCAGAAAGGTAGGAAGGAAGAGGCTTTCCCCAACAGCCCTGTGGGGTGGGTGCTATGCATCTTCGTCTTAAAGGTGAGGAAATAAAGGCCAACAGAGTTTAGGTGACCTGCCCAAGGTCTCCCACCCAGTAAGGGCCTCATCTGAGGAGGCAGGATTGAAACTCAGGTCTTCCTGACTCTGGAGTCTGGTGCTGCCTGTGCTGAAAAATGCAATGTACAGTTCTTTGAGTAAAAGCCAAATCCATGCTGGAAACCGAGCAAACAAAATCTGTGCCAACGTCTGCCTGGTGGGACGTTGTGTCCTAGCTTAGTCCTCAGGTATCCTGCCCCAAAGGTGCTGACAAGCAAGGGGGCTGGTTGGCTGAGCTAGCCAGGGTCTAGGAGATGGGGACTTGGGTATAAGATCATCTGTTTCTCTTGGTATTGGCCCAGATGCTAGGGTTGAAATAATTTCCCTTCCCAACATGATGATTTATTATAAATGGAGAAAACCGTAAGGCTGGAAGCAGGGCTGTTTGACCTAGCATTTTTGTGCTGTTCCAGAGAGTAGAGGGGTCACATTGTTGGGTGATTATAAATGAATGATTGCGCCATTTCCTAACTGTTAAAAAGGAGGATGCTAAACACACAATGGGGATCAGAAGTGTTTAGGCCACAGAGTCATGCATGGTAAAGGAGTGTGCATCCATGCTTTCCAGCCCGGCCTCCTACATTGGGGCTTTGATCAGTAGTATAAGGTCAGTTTTGATATGTGGAATGGGCATGCCAGCTGTTGGTCCACAGATGGGGAAATAATCTGAAATGGAATATTGCTGGACAGAGTATGTGCCTGAATTTGGCAGAAGCAAGCTTTCTATGGGGCAATAGTAGAGTAGGGTGGTTAATAGCCTTTCAGATATACCTCCATTTCATGGTTCCTTTTCATAACACTGAGCCCACAAAAGGTCTGCATGTTCCTCAGCTCCCTCTATCGAAACCCACCTAGGGAGTTGCCTGAGGCTCAGAGGGGTAACCTGCCCTTGGAGAGATCGGCAACTTTAGGAACTTAGATCTAGATCTGGAAGAGACGCTCAGAGGCTACCTAATCCATATGCCTCATTTTTGCAGATGAGGAAACTGAGGACCCAGGGGAGGTTAAGTGACTCACCTGAGGTCACTCAGTATGTGTTAAAGGCCAGGTCTTCCAGTTCCTCCTCCACTCTTCTTTCCACTATACCAGGCTGCTTCTCAGGCAAAAGTTGAATGCAGGTCTCCAGATTTAGCACTACTACATCTAAATACCCCCCTTGGCGACCAGTCCCCATGCTTTAGCATTCTGATAGGTGACGTCCTCCCTCGGCCTGATGACACCTTCCCACGACACATCCATCCCCTTTCTCCCATCCACTCCTCTCTCCAACATTCTTCTGGAACTATCCTTTCCCTATTTGTGTTCAGTTAATCAAAGAAGCACATTAGGCATGGTATTCCTGCTGGGGAGTCTGAGTCAATATCTAAGGTGAATGGTAGCATATTTTTGTAAATCCCTTTCCTTTTTTTCTTCTCAGAAACAAGTACCAATGTGGTGCTCAATTTTTATTTTCCTGGAAATTGTGTTCTATAGTGTATCCTAGCAATATGCTCATCTTAAGCAAAGAATGCCCTGGAGACTTTTTTTTAATTCATTTTCATTATTATTTTTGAAGTGATGATCAAATGTATCTTTGTAAACTGATCAGAAGTAGTTTCTAGGTAGCTGTGATAATGAGAGTATTGAAGTTTTGCCTTCAGATTCTAAGTCCTTCCATCTCTCAGATTCTGGCTCAGGGCACCCAAGAGAGGCTGACAAACTGAAGATGAGAGATCTCAGTGCAACTTGGAACTGCTTGCGGCCATCCTAAGTTATTCAGATAACTAATTCAGATTCTTAAGTTGTTCAGATAGTAGGGTCATGAAGTCTGTGATTTTGTTGCTAGTGAATATACAATGAGTGTTATGAAAGCCAAACCAACATAAGCCTTGGGTCTGAGACAAAGGCTTTTGGAGATGCAGCAACATAAGCCAATGCTGTTGCTTGTTTCTAGAAAGAGAATCTTCCTGGATACTGATTGGAGCAGTCCTACAATTGTTCTGAGAGGCCTAATCAGCCCACATTTAGGGGAGTCCCGGGCCCTTCTTTCCAGGAATGTTTTTTTCAAATTCTTTAGAAATACTTTGACGGGATCTGAACCAAGTATATGGTTTTTTTTAACATTCCAGGTAGAGAACCACACAGAAGAAAATGACATGAATAAGCGACGACGGAAAGGCATAGACAATTTGGAAGAGGTTAGTATTTTCAGTACTTCTGTGAAACACCAAAACTAGCCTGGGAAAAAGGCCCAAAGGAATCTCCTTTTCCCCCAATGGGGAGCCAACTGCTAAGATGCAGTGGGATACCGGCCCACCATTTACCCACCCATCTTTTCCCTTGGTGACCCTTGACTGCAGAGTTCCAGGACTCTGTTTCAAGGATGAATTAGCAATGATAGGCTCATGGGTCCACAGTTGGAAGGAACCTCAGAGGTCATCTAATCCAATCCATCCGTTTTACAAATAAGTAAACTGAGGCCCAGATAGGATCAGAGAACATAGCTCTACAGTTGGAAGCTACCTAGTTCTACACTCAGAAAGGTTAAGCAATTTGCCCAATCTCATAAGAATACAATAAGTATGAGAAGTGGGATATAAATCTTGTTCTTCTTACTCCATAGCTAGTCCTCTTTCCACTGGACTCCTTTGCCTCAATCGTTCCAGATTCTTGGACATCCCACTGAACTGAATCCAAATTTGGATTAGAAAGTGACCTCCTGACTTTTTCTAGTTTAACATATCAGAGTTACTATACTTCCAAATTTTCTTTCTCCTAGGCCTTAAAAAAAATTAAATAACATATTCCATTGTAAACCTCCCCCCTCCTTTATTATTTTGGAGTTGTCCTTTCCCTGAATAATGTTCCCTTCTCACCTATTTACTGCCATTTTCTTTTCTAAGAAAAAGGACCAGAAAACTGTTAGTCAGGATGCAGCATGCTGATGGGGCCACATTAACGCCCCTACATTTGGGTTCAGCTGGAGAGATTCCCCTTTGTTAGCCCTAGATGAAATGAGCTGTCCTTATTATTGTTACTATGGGTCATGGAGGGGAACCCAACTCCAAACTCGGGCTTGCTGACAGAGCCTTGTTTCTCTATCTGGTGCTTTGGGGGGTCTTTGAGCATCTCCCTGGGCTCCAAAATGTGATAATGCCTCCCTCCCCCCATTTTCACCCTTACAGTCATCAAGCTTTTCTAGCCGCAGCACTAGCTCATTTAGAGACTATGGCATCGGAAAGGAAGGCACGAATCAAAATAAAGTGAAGTCCATGGCCAATCAGCTGCTGGCCAAATTTGAAGAGAATACTCGGAATCCTTCTCTTTTGAGACAGGTGAGTGACGTGGTCAAGGACTGTGTCTTCTGGGTGTCCCTTACCCTACCGGGAGGTAGCAGAAGCACATGACTTATGACAGGCTTCCGGTGTGCTTGAGGATCCTGGCTTAAGTGGTGCACTGTGTGTGTGTGTGTGTGTGTGTGTGTGTGTGTGTGTGTGTGTGTGTTGACACACACACGCATGCATCCTTGTCCTTGTGTGTACTTGGCAGCCTGGGGCAGTGGCGAGGAAGGGATCTGTCTTAGTACTGGTGAAAAACTCCCATCCCAAGCCCAGCACCATCTGTTTTGAAGCTCTAAAAACCTTATTGATCTACCAGATTGTTGACCCACCTCTAAAACATTTCCTACATTCCTTGCCACCACCCTCAACCTCTACACTCCCAACATATTAGCAGACCAGGTAAGTATCTGGTAAGGCAATAGCCCCATGTTATGCCCCAAGGCAAGAGCTCCAGTTCATATTTCAGTTTGATTTATCAAAGTTTCCCAACCCAGAGTGGCAGTGCTGTAGCTAGAGAACTGCTCCTGGAACCAGGAAGACCCAGAGTCACTTTTTGCCTCTGCCACCTATTGACTACGTGACCCTGTCTCCCTGGCAGCAATATCAGACCAAAGCTAGCACAGCAGGTGCCAGTGCACCTTGGGAGAGGGCATCTTCTCCTTACACCAGTGATATCACAGAACCAGTCTTTAGAAAAAACAAGGCCCATAACCTAATTTATTTTAGGCCTGACCTTTGTTCCTTTTGGCCCCAGGCTCATGGATTGGGGGTTTTGCTTAGAACTGTCCCTTGCGTGATTCCAATTGATGCATTTCAGAAAGACCCATGCTGAGAAGGACCTGAGTTCAAATTCTACCCTATTTATTAACTGTATGACACTTAACTAAAGTTTGCCTTAGTTTCCTCATCTGTAAATGAGGAATAGGGGGATAATACTAACACCCACGTGCTGGGGTTGCTGTGAGTATCAAATGGGAGAATATTTGTGTAATGATTAGCACACAGTGCCTGACACACAGTGAGTGCTATATAAATGTTAGTTGTTATTATTTAGGCTGTCCTCCTGGTCACCGCATGTTCCCAGGATGGGGCTTTTGGTTATCCTGGGGGGATAGCACAGGCTGGCTGGCCTAAGCCAAAAAGCTCAACTGAAGTCCAGGTCAGGATGTTCAGGAGGATGAGTGGATACCAGACGGCTGAGCTCTGGACACCATTAGTGACCTCGGAGTTAAATGGACCTTTGCTAAGGGCACCAACCAGTCTGTGCCATTCCAGAGAGTTCTTTCTTTTGGCCTGGGTGGGAGCCTTTGACGTTGCTGGGCAGTGGGGAGCTCACATGGATGGGCTCACAGTAGGCAGTATGGAGACCCCATTTCTGCATCATAGAGATGGGCAAGTGACCATGACAAGGGGGACAATTCCTACTGCTCCTGAAAGGCCCCCTGGCTCCTCTCCTCCACCCAGCCCCTGCATGGGATCTGGCAGAATCCCTTCCCTCCCCTTTCCTGCCCACACTGGAATTCCCATAATATCTGAGAGGAAGAAGCTGCAATGCCTGAGAGATACCTTGGCTGTGTGTTTCTGGGGGGAAGGCTGTGTTGCACATGTTTTCTGGATGGGCTGAAGCTCCTTGGTTGCACTAATGTTTTAGGCCAACAGTTCTGCCCTGTCCAACCCTTATCTTCTCTTTGTTTCCTGTCTCCCAGTGTCTTTCAGTCTGACTTACCTTTTATTTTCATGTTTCCTACGGTTGCTCTTCTCAACTCAACTTTCTTCTCCAAGGCGCAAGCTCTTTCTGGCCTAGGTAAGCCTGTCCTACACTCTCCCACTGGCCCTCCTGTTAGCCTTCGCTTTGCTAAGCCAAAGGACCCTACACCCAGCCCATCACCTCCTCTCAAAAGGCAGGTAGGGTTTCATCTTCATTCTCACTTCTCACCTGGCAATGCTGATATTTCATTTTAGAAGGGAGGAAACTGTGGGCCTTCCAGGGTAATCCCCACCCCATCCCCATCTCGTCATTACTAATATCACAAGGGTACACTTGGATGTGCAGCAAACATCTTTATCCACTAGCTTGATAATTTTTCAATTATCACGTATTTATTAAACAACTACTGTGTACTTGTTAAGGAAAAAAGAAACCACTGAATTTGATTATTTTACTCAATTACCTTGCGGCAGATATTTTTTCAAAGACTAGAGATTTGCAGCTCTGAATGTGCATCCCGGAAGAAGGAAATACTTGTGAGCCGATAGGGTTAGTTCAGTGATTCCTCTCCTGTTCCTCTGAAGAGGAACCAAGTAGGGTAGGAAGGAGGCCTCGTAGCAGTCAGGCTATGTGACGGTTGTCAATAGTGCTTTCCCTGTGGCAATGGTATGTCAGTGCAATGCCGAGCATCTCTGACAACTTTGGGTTGGGTGGTGGGGGACACCCAGCCAGAGAGTCCATGTGTCTTCTTGGATTCTGCGATGCCCTTAACAAGCTTTGTTCAGAAGGCTCCGCCTTTCTACTCACCCATAATAACAGTATTAGCAATTGTGTGTGTGTGTGTGTGTGTGTGTGTGTGTGTGTGTGTGTAAATCCTGTTTTTCCTGGTGGGAATCATTTGCATGATTTTAGTGAGATGTCTTAGATTTTCCATGAAAGGCGAGTGTGGTTTAATAATGACTTTTTTTTTCTAAGACCCTTTTTATGGAAAGGTGACAGAGTGGATAGAGTACTAGGCCTGGAATCAGGAAGACTCATCTTCCTGAGTTCAAATCTGGCCTCAGACACTTACTAGCTGTGTGACCCTAGGCAAGTCACTTCATCCTGTTTGCCTCAGTTTCCTCATCTGTAAAATGAGCTGGAGAAGGAAATGGCAAACCACTCCAGTACCTTTTCCAAGAAAATCCCAAATGGGGTCGCGAAGAGTCAGACTGAAACAACTCGGCAACAGCGGCAGAGTCCTTTACAAATATCAGTTATTATTAACCTAAACTCCTCATTTTACAAATGAAGAAGCCGAAGCCCAGGGTGGACCAGAAAAGTAGTTAGCATCAGTGGGAGGTTGGACCCTATGCTCTCTGACTCCAGAACCAGCCTTCTTCCCATTGTCCCTGGGCCTCAGTTTTCTCAGCTACAAAATGAAGGCCTTCTAAGATCCCTGACCCTTTTAGGTCTGTGTTCCTATGATCTATGCCTTCTAGCATTTTGTCTGGAGCAGATTATACGGGTTTGGGTTGTTGGTTTTATACAGTTGCCCATGAGAAGAGCTTTCTTCTGATTGTTGCAGAAAAGAGAAGGCCGCCATTTTCTGCGGTGTGGCTGGTACTTTTGGCCATATCTGCCTCAGGTGCCAGAAGTTAGTAGCACCCTCCCTTCCTCATGACTCCTTTGTGCATGTGTGTGCATGTATGTGTGTGTGTGTGCACATATACACATACATGGAAATGTAAGGAAACACTGTGTGGAGGGGAAGGCCCTTGCCCAGTTTCCCTGTTTCCTAGTTTCAGATGCTAGCTATGACTGAGCAGGTGCTCAGGGAGTCAAAGGCAGCTTCTCCTGCTAGCGACAGCCTAATCAGGCCTTTGAGAGCTCGAGCCAAGTCGGACCTGCAGCCCTTCCACTCAGGAAGCCTGGCTCCTCTGCCATCTGACTGTCCTGGGGCGTTTGCTCTCATTGGGACACTCAGGCGCCTGCAGCACGTGGAGGAAAAGATTCACCAGGTGAAAAATGGACCCCACTCCCACTTCCCTTCCTCTTCCTTCTTTGCTCTGATGTTAACTGCCCTTTAACCCTCAGAGCCCATGGTTAAATGTGCCATCTCCTTATACAAAGAAGTTCCTTCCCTTAATCTTCATGCCTTGATATTTCTATGAGCAATTCTGTGCAAACATTCTAGCACTACTGTTTCCCTGGCCTTTATCCTATTCTTAACTAAAGCTTCTCTGTCTCTCTCTCTTTGGCCTGTCTTTCTGCCCATTTGTGTCTGCCTGTCTGGCTCTCTGCCCCACCTCTCTCTGTCTTTCTCTCTTTCTCTCTCTCTCCCTGTTTCTGTTTCTCTGTATCTCTGTCACTGTCTCTCTGCCTCTGTGTCTCTCTCTCTGTCTCTCTGTCTCTCTTCCTGCCTCTCTCTCTCCCTCCCTCTGTGTTTGTCTGTCTGTCTCTGCCTGTCTCTCTCTCCTCCTGCCTGCCTGTCTGGTGCTGTCTGGCTCTATCTCTTTTGCTGTCTTTCCATCTGTCTCTGCCAATGTCTGTCTGTCTGTCCATCTGTCTCTCTTTGCCTGCCTGCCTGTTTGTATCTGTTTCTCTCTTTCTCTCTCTCTCTCTCTCTCTCTCTCTCTCTCTCTCTCTCTCTCTCTCTCTCTCTCTCTCTTTCTCTCTCTCTCTGGCTCTCTGTGTCTCTCTGTCTCTCTCTTTCTTTCTCTGTTTCCATCTGTCTCTCCCACTGTCTGTGCCTGTCTCTCTCTCTTTTTCACCTGCAGAAGAGGGCTCAAAACTTAGCCAACAGGGAGTTTCACAAAAAGAATATTAAAGAGAAAGCTGCTCACCTTGCCTCCATGTTTGCAAGTGAGGACTTCCCCCAGGTAACTATTGCATGATTGACTGGGGCCCAAGGAGCCTAGATTCCAGAAGCCCAGGGCAACAGATGGATAGCTAGCTGGGCTCTGGGCTCTCTCCCTCTCTCTCCCATCAGAGCATGCTGGATCAAACACAATTCATCAATCCCTCTCTGTGGGCACTGGGCATTATTTGGCACTTGGGAGCTAGATCATTTTGCATTAGAATGGAAAAATGCAGTACTGTCCAAAGGGGAAAGCTATCAGCCTTGGAAAAATCTGGAAATTTGCAGGCTTACCCTTAATGAATTCAGGAGAAGGGAAAGGCTATTTGCAAACAAACAAACAGGTCTCCAGGATGTAACAAGGCCCAGTGTAAGCTCCTTTCCCAGAGTCCTGCATTTGCCTTCACAATGGATCTATTTCTCTTTTTTTTTCCATGGATGGGCCCG